GTAAAGAAGAAGAAAGTGAGTGAAAATAGATTTTGTAGTAGAAGCTCAGTAACGAGCCATTTTGCTTCATTTCCTCTCTCCAAGATCTTGCGTAACACTCTCTACAAAGTAGGTGTTCAGTAAGGAATTCATTAAATTGAATCCCCCCAACAACTGAAATCACTGCCCAGACACATTTGTTACTAATGTTTGTATTTTACAGCACTATTTTTCAGTCTCTTTGATCTCAGAGATTGCTCTTTGATTAGCAGAGTCGCAAAACTCAACTCTATGGATGGTTAAAATAAAAAAACTGGGGACTAGGGAGATGGCTCAGTCAGTAAAAGTACTTTCCTTGTAAGCATGAGGACCTGAGTTTGGATTTCTAGCACACATGTAAAAGGACAGGCATGGTGGTCCACCCCTGTAACCTCAAAGGAGGCTTCCTGAAGCTTGCCAGCTAGCTAATCTAACCTGTGAGCTTCAGTTCAGTGAGAGACCATGTGTCAACAAATTTGATGGTGAGCCCTAGAGGAAACACCAGATGTCAACCTCATGCCTCTACACACATATGTGCACACATGCATGAACACATATACATGCATAAACCACACACACAAAAACTGGAGAGTGATTATAGCTAGTGATTTAATGATTATTTTTAAATATTTTATTTAATTTTACGTGTATGAGTGTATTGCCTGAACGTAGGTAAGTGCACCTGTGTTGCACAATGCCCACAGAGGACAGAAGAGGCTGTTGGATCCCCTGGAACTAGAGTTACAGACAGTTGTTAGCTGCCATGTGGGTGCTGGGATTTGAACCCTGGTCTTCTGCAAGAACAGTCAGTGCTCTTAACTGCTGAGCCATCTCTCCAGCCCCATGATTTAATTATTTTTAAAGTCATTTATCAAGCCGGGTGTGGTGGTGCAGGCCTTTAATCCCAGCACTTGGGAGGCAGAGACAGGCTGATCTTTGTGCGTTTGAGGCCAACCTGGTCTACATAGTGAGTTCCAGGCCAGCTGGAGCTACAGGGAGATGCTGTGTCAACAAGACCAAAAAATAAAAATAAAATAAATGTATTTATCGTTGAAGAGCAGGGAGTTCATTAACTATTTCTGGGGTTCATTATGTTCTGGGGTTCATTAACTACTTCTATTTAGGCTCCATTGTGATGCTATAAGTGAGAATTTAACTACCCCCTTTCCATTTTCTGTAGAATGGCTTCAAGTGTCATTGTATGTCTGAATCTCATCAGAGACAATTATTGCTGGCTTCAGAAAATCCTCAGCAGTTTATGGATTATTTTTCAGAGTAAGTAGCTTGAAGATATCCTTATCTCTTAAACTTTATTCAGTTGGACATTTAATAGAAGTGCTAAGTGTTTTATAATTTGTAGATCTGTTGTCCCATGGATGGTAATATGACTGTGGCCTCACTCTGGGGAGTTTTTAATCTTTCTTTTTTTGGTCTTTTTTGAGACAGGGTCTCCAGCTCTCCTGGAACTCACTAGGTAGACCAGGCTGGCCTCAAACTCACAGAGATCCATCTGCCACTGCCTCCCAAGTACTGGGATTAAAGGGGTGCTCCACTATGCTTGGCGATGAGTTTTTAATCTTTTAAAAATTCATCACAATGTAAAATAGTTACAGAAGTGTTTGTCACAACAAATTGTCTTTCCTTCCTTCCACTTCAACTTCTGTTCTAACACAGCTGTTCCTGAGAAAACACAGGCTGCGTTTGTTAACCCCCTGACCTCAGAACCTTCTCTATTCGGGGGCTGTGGAGGGCACCTTGGGATGAGCAATTCGAGCTTTTCCGTGGTTTTGTTGCCTCATTGGTAATGTATCACTGCAAACAAGCAAACACCCTCACAGACTATTAGGGTCCTTCATAATGTGTGTAGAAGATTGAAGGAGCTAATTTTTTTTTTTTTTCCTCACACTGAATGTTTTATTTCAACAGACATCTCTGGTTAAAAAAAAGTGTTGGGGGAGAGTTCAACATCTCAACACACCTGACAGGGAACAAAACTCCCAGCCAAGAACTCAGAGCCCTTTGGAGGTCTCTCTCAAGTCTCTAATTGCTCCAGCACAGAAAGGAGCTGAATTTTCTAACTTGTTAAGAAAAATCTATCTGACATGTTCCTTCTCCCAGTGATGAGGGCTAGGTCCTCAGGGAACAGGTCCTGGACTTAGAGTGGCTGGGGTCCAGGAGGTGAAGCTGGGTGCTGGGCCAATAGGGCTGGCAGGAGATCCTGGAGCAATCAGTTTCTGAGCCCTAGAATTCATATTTGGCTTGAGTCTGAAGGAGGCTGAGCTTGTTTTCTGACCTGGTATCTATCCATCAGCACCAGCTTCCGCTCCTTAGCCTGGTGAATCAGGTTTGTGATCTGATGTTTCCACTGCTGCTGCCCTCTTGTCTGCTCACCATTCTTTTTGCTGAAAGACTTCATGGTTTTCTTTTCTGTCAATGACTTGGTCATCCACTGCTGGGCCCCACTGAGTTGGTCATCACCATTGATCTCCATAAAGTAGATTCCCGCCCCCCCCTTCTCTTGCCCTGAAGCTGCTTAAAGACTTCGTTATCAATGAAGGAGGCATCTGGAGCAAATTCCTGTGGAGGGAGCAGTGCTGGGTCCTGTGCAGGATTGTAGGCACCACTGTAATAACCTGATAATAAGCACCAGCGGCAGCCGCATCACCATTATGTGGAAAACTGATTGTAGCTGTAGTCATCCCCAGGCTTCAGCATCTAAGGTGGCCCCCTTGAGCCTGCTGCCATCTTGAACTCAAGGGGAGCATTGGCTGCATTGTCCTGGTTCTGTGCCTGGAGGCAGTTCTTCGGGGATAGTGGGAACAGGGTAAGGGCATGGGTCAACTCAGTGTGGCTCAGCCTTGTCCGGGAGGGAGAAAAAGTTCTCAGGAACTACTTCCTCATCACTGTCGTCATCTTCCTGTGTGACCTGCTTTGTCACCTGCAGGGCAGCAGCCTTGATAGCAGAAGCTAATGGAGTGGTGGTTGTGGTGCCCACAAAGGGGCTAGAGCGAGGAGAGCTTGGTCCTAGAAGCTAGTCTGAAGGGCTTAGCATTGGAGGAGACAGCTGAGGGTTTCCGGAGAAGGCCTGGGGCAGCAGCAACCTGTTAGTCTCTTTCGGAGTCAGGGTCTTAGGTTGAGGCAGCCAGGCGGACAAACCGGTCCCCTTACCGGATCCCCGTGGGACAGTTTTTTTCCTTGCAGGTTCTTCTTCCTCAGACTCTGAATCCCCCTTGTGCAGCTCGGCGCTGAGATCCTCGCTGGCTCTGTTCTCTTTGGCTTGGGAAGCCCCGGGGGGTCCGAGAGCGTCCACAGCAGCGGGGAGACTGAGCCCAGGGCTTTGGGACAACTGCACCCCGGCGCCTCCCCATCGCCCACCGCTCCAGCAGGGCTAACCCCTGCAGGTGGGGGAAGCCCCCAGGCCGAAGGGCAAAGGCAGGGGAGGCTGGAGCCTGGGGTCCCCAGTGGGCGGGGGTAGCATGGACGGAACCTTGGGTGGGGGGAGAGAAGCGAACAGGCCTCCTTAAGAAGGCCCAGATGTAGGAGCCGCCACATCCTCTTACTCTGGCGACTCATTCACATCGCCGCTGGTATGAGCAACGAGAGACATGGAGCTTCCGAGGTTAGGACGCCCTTCCGGCCAGAGTAATCTTACTTGAGACCTGGGATGCCCAGCAGCCTACTAGGCCCCGCCCAAAGCCCAGCCCCCCCCTCTCCGTTTCGTACTCTGGAACCATCCCCGGCGGGAGTCCATGGCCGCAGTTGATGTCTACCGAAAAGGAATTCCCTCTTCACTTAAGCTCCTAGTCCCAGGCATCTACACGCAGTTAAAGAGCCCAGAAGAGTGTCTAGTACTAATTAAAATTTGTTAATTATCATTACTGTTGATAGTCTTCAGTCTGTTTGTTCATAAGCATCTAAGTCTTCTGAGAATTCTTTTCAACCCTTAGAACTGATTGAAGACCTCAAAGAGCTTTTTTGTTTACATGGATTATGTGCACCAGTATTAGAAATTAAATCTCAGAAATTTTAAGAATATTCTTTTAAAAAAAATATTTTGTGTGTATAAGTGTATTGCCTGCATGTATGTAAGTGTACCCATGGCATTAAATGCCCATGGAGATCAGAAGAGCCTGTCAGATTCCTCTCAAACTGGAGTTACAGATGGTTGTTAGCCACCATGTGGGTGCTGGGAATTGAACCTGGGTCCTCTGCAAGACCAGCCTGTGGTTTTAATCACTGAGCCCAGCTCTCCATTCCCTCTTAATCCTCTTAAACAGTGATATCTTATCCTGTGGTGGTTTGAATGAGAATGTCCGGCATAGGCTCCAAGTGTTTGGAGATTTTGTTCCCAGTTGGTGGCGCTGTTTTGGGAGATTTTGGGAGGTGCAGCCTTGCTGGAGGAAGCCTGTCACTGCAGGCAGGCTTTCAGAGTTCTTAAGCCTTGCCAGATTTCCAGTCTCTCTCTCTGCTTACTGTGCCTTCTTGAAGATGTGTTCTTTTGACTTCATGCTCCAGCCACCTCTGCTACCATGCCTCCCCCATCGTTCTGGACTCTTACCCTCTGGAAATGTAAGCTCACATAAACTTCTGTACGTTGCCTTGGTTATGTTTTTTTTTTTTGTTTTTGTTTTTTTGAAGCAGGGTCTCTGTGTAAGCCCCTGGAACTCACTATGTAGACCAGGCTGGCCTTGAACTCACAGAGATCTGCCTGCTTCTACAGGACTACAGGAGTGTGCCACCATGCCCAGCGGTTATGGTGTTTTTATCACAGTTACAGAAAAGTAATAATTTCCCATGTTCAAATAAATAAGCGGACTGGAGAGATGACTCAGTGGATAAAGCACTTGCTGTGCAAATGTGAGGTTCAGAGTTCAGGTCCCCAGCACCCACATAAAAGCTGGCAGGCATATTGGCCAGCCTGTAATCCCAGCACTTAGCAGGCAGAGACTAGGAGATCCTCAGGGCAAGTGCCTGGATGTAGCTAGACTAGCTAAATCAGTGGGCCCCAGGTTTAATGAGAGACAGTGCCTTAATGAATTAAGTGGAGAGTGATCAAGGAAGACACATGTGCATATGTGCATGTGTGCCCACATGTATGCATGCATGCATGAACTACACACACACACACACACACACACAGAGTCCTTTTTGTTTGTTTACTGTAAGACAAGATCTTGCTGTGTAGCCCAGGCAGGCCTCAAATTCAGAATCCTTCCTCACCCTCTCAAATGCTGGGATTACAGGTGTGTTCTACTATCTCTGACTGAGATTTTTAATAGAAAAAACAAAAGCAAAACAGTCTATTTTTCCAAATACAAACACCTGTATCTTATTTACATTTTTGTAAATATCTTTAGTGACTCACTTCAAAGACAGCTACATTCTTTTCCTTCTGTTATGAAATGTTTTTATTGAAACTCATAAAGGAAATTCAGCCTTTACATAGATGCATAGTTAGAAGGGAGGGTATTTCAATACCTTTTCAAGTAAATTGAAGTGCTGCTCTTTTTTAATTACATTAAGATAAGAGTGTGTAGGGCTGGAGAGATGGCTCAGTAGTTAAGAGCACTGCCTGCTCTTGCAGAGGACCTAAGTTTGGTTCCCAGCACCCATATGGCAGCTACCAACCATCCATGACTCCAGTTCCAGGGGATCCAGTGCTGTCTTCTGGCCTCTGTGGGCATTGCATGCAACATGGTACACATACACACACACACACACACACACACACATATACACATATGCAGGAAAAATACATAAAATAAAAATAAATATTAACAAAAAGTAGTTATGAAGTAGAATATGACACTAGATCCAAGGGCCTATATACTCTGTTGCATAAAATCCAGTGTCTGTCTTTTGGACAGATACTGTATCCAAGCATGATTTTGTAATGTATATGTGTTAGACTTTTATACAGACCTTCCAAATGGTGAGCCGTTTTATAGTAGTGCCATCCAGTCATACTGATTGTAGCAGCAAGGGCATTGCTAGAACATCTATGTGCATTGGGAGCCATGTGGAGCTCACAGTGGCAGCAGCTACTTGCCAGAATTCTTATTGCTACTTGGAAACGCAAATCTTATTGGCAGAGTTGACTTATTGTTCTTCAACACAGCACTCTTTAATTTTGAGGAAATGTCTACGAAATGTGCAGTTTGGGATAATGGTAGTTTATGTATCTGTTCTTCTTTAATGTGCTGTATTAGTCACTTTTCTGTTGCTGTGATAAACACTGACCCAAGCAATTTATAGAAGGAAGGGTATATTTGAGTTTACCGTTCCAGGGGAATTACAGTCCATCCTGGCAGGGAGGCATGGTGGCTGGAGGTAGCTGGAGCAGGAGCAGCAGAAGCTAAGCTCTCACATCATCACGCAGGCACAGGAAGCAAGAGAGTGACTGGAGATCCGGCCAGGCTTAAGAACTGTCTAAGCCAACCCCCAGTGACATGCTTCCTCCAGGATAGCCACACCTAAAACCTCCCAAAATAGTGCCACCATGTGGGGACAAAATGTCCAAACACTTGGAGCCTGTGGGGGACTTTTTCATTCAAACCATCACATGTCCCATTGTGGTAATGATTTCTGCTCAAATTACTTATCTAATCTTGTAAAAAAGATTAATCTTATATTTTTGATTATTTAATACCATCTCAGTTTGTTTGATAAGCAAGCTTTCTAGGCCTCGGGCTCCTCTTGTACACATAGAGCCTTCATCCGATGACTTTTCCTTGGCCTTGACCCAGAATAATGTATGTGTGTATGCATGCTATGAAAATATTAAGCTCATGAAAAGCAACAGATAAGCCTGTTTGTGTTGCAAAGTAGGTGGGATTAGAGTGATGACGTGTGTGTGTGTGTGTGTGTGTGTGTGTGTGTGTACTGTTCAAATCAGCAGGGCTCACAATGGGCAGGTTTCCCCGTAAGACAGATTCTGTCCTTCCTTCCCTATTTCATGCTGGATGTATAGTTTTAGTAAAGAGGGATCAAGGCCTTTGTTCAAGAGCACAGTTCCAGGAGAAGTCTGAAGAAACAGTTTCTCATAACAGTTTAGGCCTTGCTCATGATTTAAATGGATATAAGAGTCAGGCTGTCTTTATTTAGGCGTCCCTGTGATGTGGTACTGCACTGCTGTAGCCCCTGAAAATAATATTTCAACTCACAGCTCAGTTGCATGGGTGCCTTTCTCCTGGCACCTGTTATACACAGCTGCAGCAGCAGTTAATCGATAGCTCTCATTTCATCACAGTGTTAGAAGAGGTGTTTGAAAGTTGTGATCTAATATGGCCAGTAAGTTTTACTGCTTCTTCAAGAACATGCTAGATGAAGCTAGGTTGGTTTTCTTGTGATTGGTATGCAGAGTGCTTTGCTTTCATTGCCCATGACCTTACCTGCTGGGCTAAGATGCTAGCAGACTTAACCTTTTTTTTGGCTGGGGGCGGGGTGTGTGTGTGTGTGTGTGTGTGTGTGTGTGTGTGTGTGTGTGTGAAGTTTCGGTAAAGAGAGCTTCTTCAAGAACATGCTAGATGAAGCTAGGTTGGTTTTCTTGTGATTGGTATGCAGAGTGCTTTGCTTTCATTGCCCATGACCTTACCTGCTGGGCTAAGACGCTAGCAGACTTAACCTTTTTTTTGGCTGGGGGCGGGGTGTATGTGTGTGTGTGTGTGTGTGTGTGTGTGTGTGTGTGTGTGTTGGAAACAAGGTCTTACTACAAAGCCTGGACTCAGTGATGGAGTCCAGGCTAGTCCTCAAGCTCACATCAATCCTCTTGCCTAAGCTCTTGAGTGCTGGGATTCCAGGTGTCTACCACCAAGCCTAGTTTCCTTCCATTGCATTTATTTATTTGTTTGTTTATTTGTTTGGTCTTTTTGAGACAGGGTCTCTCTGTATCCCTAGCTGGCCTGGCACTGGCTATGTAGACCAGGCTGGTCTCAGACTTTGAGGTAATCTTTGAGGTTCTTTCCTTGCTCGCCTTAAAGGTTTATATCACATGGGGCTGGAGAGATAGCTCAGTGGTTAAGAGCGATGACTGCTCTTACAGAGGATCTGGGTTAGATTCCCAGCACCCACATGGGAGCTAACAAATGTCCTTAATTGCAGTTCCTGGGGATCCAATGCCCTTTTCTGACGTCCGGGGCATTGCACAACACAGGTGCACTTAAACACACCCAGGCAATACACTCATACACAGAAAATAATAAATATTTAAATAAAGATTTATAGCACATGATGACACAGATGTTTTATGTGTCATTTGGTCATTAAAGTTTATGATTGCTTAAATTTCAGGAAGACAGTGCTACATATTTGTAGAAAGTACCTTATTGTTGTCTTTTCTTTCCTTACTAGGGAATTCCGAAATGACTTTCTAGAACTTCTCAGGAGACGCTTTGGTAAACATCTTAAGTATTATACGCATAACTTTATTATTGCATAATCGCCTGGGACTCAGCACTGTTGTATTTTGTTCTTAGGCACCAAGAGAGTGCACAACAACATTGTGTACAATGAGTACATCAGCCACCGAGAGCACATCCACATGAACGCCACCCAGTGGGAAACGCTGACGGAGTTTACCAAGTGGCTGGGCAGAGAGGGTAAGAAGAGAGTGTTCAGCAGGTTTTTTGTGGGTATAATTCAGAAGAGCAAAATCATTGTCAATGTCTATCTAAATTCATGGAAGAAAGGATGATGCACAGGACAGTTAACTGAAGGAGGGGCATACTATTCCACAATTACATTTGTTTATTGTAGTTGAATAGCAATATCTAGAGTACTTCTTGTTTTGTTTTATTTGTTTTTTGTTTGTTTGTTTGTTTGTTTTTGGGACAGGGTCTTATATACCCCAGACTAGCCTGGAACTCATGACCTTCCTGTCACTACTTCCCAGGTGCTGGGCTTATGCATTGCAGAGTCACCATGCCCAGCATCCACCATGCCTGGCTGCACTACTTCTTTTTGACCATGCAGAGATTTATGTTTGAAACATTCCGTTTTGGACACTTTTCATTACTGTTACAAAATAGCTAAGAAAATTACCTTGAAGAAGGAAAGGTTCTGGCTCACAGTTTCCGAGAATTCAGTTCATAGGCCACTTGACTCCCTTGCTTTGGGGCCTGTGGAGAGGCAGAACATCATGCCGGGGAGTATGGGATGAAGCAAAGGGGCCAGGATAAGATGGTCCCTTCCAGAGCACCATCCCAGTAACCTTAATCTTCCAGCCAGGCCCTACCTGTTACTTTCCACTGCCTCCCAATAGCACTACCCCATTAGGAGCCCATGATTGGATTAATCCACCGATGAGGTCAGAGCCCTCAGGTCACTAGCTGGAGACCATGCTTTGAACTAGAGCCTTCGGGGACACTGCATTTCCAAACCATAATACTTGCATTTAGTTCACAAGTTACTGGCAGTCTGATGATCTGAGTTTGACCACCGAGATCCACCGAGTCCCCCACATTTTCCTCTGATTTCCACATGCACACCATGGCCTATGTGCCCCCTCCATTAAATTACTATGATTAAAACAAATGTTTTTATCATGGCAGTTTCTGCCAAGCTTTCTTTCCTTCCCCTTTCATCTTCCTCCCCTTCCTCCTTCCCTTTTTTATTTATTGGTTGAGACGAAGGCTCACACTGTAGCCCAGGCTACCCTGAAACTCATTATGTAGCCCACGCTGGCCTTCACCTTGGCCGCCCTGCTTCAGCCTTCCCCAGTGTTGGGTTGTAGGCGTGAGCCCACTTCCAGTGTTGTTTGCCCTCTTCTTTGGGAGACCCGGATTCTGTCCTGAGGTGATTTTTTTGGTTTGCTTTTCTTTTTCCCATTTCTAATCTTCATATGATGAGAAATAAAGTAGACAGGAGAGAGTTTGTATTGACGTTTGCTTAGTCAGTGTGTTACATTATTCTGTTTTAAATCACAGATGATTTTGTACTCATTGGATATTAAATACTTTAGATATAGTTAAACAGTTGCTATGTAGGATGCTTTTTCATGTGTTTCTCTTGCCTAAATGTTACCTCAGCCTAGCTGTGTAAGTATGAAAGCTTCATGTGTTTCAGAGTTTTGTGTTTGAATGTATTTGATCCTATGTGACTGAGGGGGACATTACACTGTGCTTTGGTTATATGCAAAGTCATGCTGTCTGCTTTCTTTAAGGCTTGTGTAAAGTAGATGAGACACCAAAAGGCTGGTACATTCAGTACATAGACAGAGACCCAGAAACTATTCGCCGACAACTAGAATTGGAAAAAAAGAAGAAACAAGACCTGGATGATGAAGAGAAAACTGCCAAATTTATTGAGGAACAAGTGAGAAGAGGTCTGGAAGGGAAAGAGCAGGTGGGAGCAGGAGCAGCCAGCCTGTGACAGGCAACTTTGAAAGCAGTGAAGATGTATTGAATTTTCTTTAATGAGCAGGAGAAAGAGCATGAAGGATGTGAAAACCCAAGATTTGGAGTTGAAAAAAACCTTGGTTTAGTTCCTCATCTTACACTAAATAATCTTGTGAAACTCAGTCTCCTTATCTCTAAAATGCAGACAGGACCTAATGGGAAGATAAATGGATAGATCATTTCCTGTGATTTTAGTTACTGCAGCACTAGAGATAAACTGTTTGGAGCAGTTACTCCAGCCCAGGGAAAACAAAGAGTATGTGACGGCAGATGAGAGCGTTGAGCTAAGGAGGCTTCAAGTCTCAGTGAAAGCCAGGCAGACAAACAGGTGGTGATGGTAACGGGGCCAGGGTCAGCAACAACACCACATTGTTTATTCCCACAACTAGTTCTTGGTGTGTCTGTGTGCCAGGATGCTTCTGGGTGACGGGGATCACAGTGAGCAAACGATGATGTCATGGGACCTGATTGCTAACAGTTGTGTGTGAGCAGGTAATTGCAACCTGGTATCTGTGTGAAACTGTTACCTATTCAGTATTTTTCTAATTAAAAAAGATTGTTTTTGAGGTCTAGGTAGTAATACAACAAACTGTAGTTCCGTGAATGTCAACATAAATTTTTTGTGTAATCTTTGTTTTTTGTTTGTTTGTTTGAGACAAGGTCTTACTTTGTAGTCTTGGCTGGCCTGCAACTCACTGTGTAGGCCAGGCTGGTCTTGAACTCACAGGGATCCACCTGCCTCTGCCTCCCAAATGCTGGGATTAAAGGCATGCGCCACCACAACTGACCTTGTTTTTGTTTCTTTGAGATAGGGTCTTGCTATACAGCCTATACTGTTTTCAGACTTGCAAAGCTCTTCTGCCCCAGCCTCCTATGGGCTGGGATTGTAGGCATGTATTACTACATTTGACCTAATTAAAAATTTAAAAATTTATGTGTATGACTGTTTTGCTTGCATGCACAGAAGTGCACCACATACTTGCAGTGCCCACAGAAGCCAGAAAACAACATCAGATCCCCCGAAACTAGAATTATGTACAGGTGTTAGCCACCATGTGGATGCTGGAAATGGAACCTAGGTCTTCTGCAAGAACAGCCAGTGCTCTTAACCACTGAGCTATCTCTCTGGTCCCCTGTCTGAATTTTTAAAACTGATATATAAAAACGAGAATTGTAAACGGTACATTTTGTTGTATGTGTGTAGTGCATAATCAGGGTAAACATACCTGTCTTCTTAAATACCTTTTTTTTTAAAAAAAATTTTTATTTATTTTTATTTTATGTGTATGAGTGTATTGTCTGCATGTATGTGAGTGCACCCGTGTCATTCAGTGCCGTGGAGGTCAGAAGAGAGCTTCGGATGCCCTTGGACCTGGAGTTAAAAACAGTTTGTAGCCGCCCTGTGGGTGCTGGGAATCGAACCTGGGTCCTCTGCAAGAGCAGTTAGTGCTCTTAATCACTGAGCCATCTCTTCAGCCCCC